TGCAAACTAATATCGGCGTTAAGATACATGTCAATATTGAGTATGGTCCCATTATTTATAATACTTCAGGCATGGCTGAAAAGCAGCCCTAGGCTATGACAGAGCCTCTTCAATGCTTTACTTGAAGTTCTCAATCAAGTACTACTCCTGTGGCCTTCTTTAAAGACACTGATAAAAAAAAGACATGTATTATGTAACATGTCATTTTATTAAGTAAGTGTAAGAGTAAGCGTGCACAAAAAGAACTAAGACTTTCTGGGCTCGCCTGTGAGACCCCAAAACAATTCCAGAAAATGTCTTCTTTTTTTTCAAAAGGGCAAGCATTAAAAGCCCTTAAGTGAGACATAATAAACAGGAGCAGACTCCAGACTTATGCACGCCACTATATGGGGACATTTCCTAATGGACTGCACACTCTGACAAATGTACATTACTCACACACCCCACTGTGCAGTCTAATAAGAAAAGGCAGAGAAATCTCACTGTGTACAATATGGGACCTTTAATTTTCAGGATCATATCCTTTAACATCTGCAACCTTATGTCCTCTCCCCCGCTGTGCACGCATTCATGCTGCATAGCACAGACAGACACAAGCTAAAAGCAACAGGCATCACTTCCCAATACACCCAAGTATTCACTTACCCACTAATCTGCACACACACACACACACACACACACTCCCACCAGTAAATAGCATCTGTGCCTGCTGTGTCTGATGGGATTGTAAAGAGCGGAGTCAGTAGCACAGAAGGAAAGGGGAGTGTGAAAAGAAGCAGCAACTGAGGCAATTTAGCCTCCAGATTAGAGATAAGAGAGTTCAGTCAATAAGCACTGATCTCATTTGAAGATATACCAGAGTGACTAGACTCACACACACACACACACACACACATTTCCATGACTTGGTCTCCTGCTGTCGCTGGTGTCTGTCTGTGTCCTTTCCAGTAGGTTTACAGCACACAGCACTCTGTCTAACCCCGACACGGCCTCCAAACACAAGCCACCACTCAAACTTTTTTTTTATCTATATGTATTTCCCGGCGACTGTGAATTAGGCTGCGTTCACACTGACCTAGTTTAGTCTGACTGAACTCACCCCAGAGCCTCCACTCACTTAGTAGATGTCTAAACCCATGGCAGCTCTTTCGTCCAACTTAAAGAGCTAATCTCAGTCAAACCGTGTGGCTGGTCATTTCTGCTCCAAAAATGTCCCACTCCACTTGAAAAGTACTCTTCCCAAAGTTTTCAGTATTAATTGTTAGCTTAGCTGGTCAATCAGGATTGGTTAGGACAATAACGCTTAGCGCCAGCTGTCTGATGCAGCGCTAACAAGATTGTGAGTTACACATTATTTTCAGTTCTTGAACTTTATTCACATTTTTACCTACAAAAGTCCTGAAGAAAAACATTGAGCAACACAAAAGTATTTGTTCATAGATTCCGAACCTAAAATAATTATACAAAGTCATATTAGCTAAGTCTCCACTAAGCTAATACCGCTCCTCCACTCCACCTCTTATGCATTTTAGCAGCTCTTTATTCTGTGCATTACTGCCCCCTTGCAGATATCTTTGCTGCTTGTAAATATTTGTCTCATAAGAAGTATCACAACCATTTGTGAAATAAGAAAACACAGACGGGGGCAGAATCCCTGGGAAACAATCGAGCACCTGAGCACCATTAAAACCATTTAGGGGATTTTTTTTTAAATGATTGTAAGGTAGAATTTCTTTAGGAAAATGTTTCTTTGAAGTAGAGTCAAGTATTTAACACAGTAAAGAAGTATTTATTGTCTGGTGTGTGATATCCAGTGTACTGTACATTAAAAGCTTCTACAAATATGCACTCATACATAGACTTAGAGTACACTGTACATTCAGTAGTGATGGGATATCAACTCTCCTATTTACAACTAATGTAAATAAAAATATGGTATTTGTGTTTCAGTCGCTCATACTGTATATGCACTTTAACAATTTTCTAAATCTGTTTGTCCAATGGCTTTGGAAGTCATTCGCTTGTACTAGTGTATCATAGACAAAGGGTGTACGTAGTAGCGTAGTATTTATTAGTCTAATGTTTAGTCTAGGTAACATATAAATAAAAATAAATATAAATGTTTTTTCCTTTCTATAGTTATATATATATATATATACATCAGTGGTTGGTTGGGATTTTGAAAACAGCAACATTTTTCTATTAGGAGAGAAAAAGCTTTAACTCTTTCTGTTTAGACAAATATTTATGTCTTTCTATGTATTTACTGTATATCTGTTAATCAGTAAATTAGTGCAACTAATGTTTATTTCTTTGTTTTTTCCCCTGAATAACCTCTACGCCTCTATTGCTAACAGGAGAACAATTATTTTGTACTGGTTTGAAAAAGAGAGAGCGCAAATTTAAAATCAAATTTCAAAGCGAAATGTAAGTTAAAGAACAGAGAAAATTTTAAGAAATAAGCTGAGCTCACGGTGAGTTGAATAGCTAATTCTTTAACAACGTGTTAGATAGTGTTTATGGTTTCCAGCCAAGCTATGGGGGATGAGCTTGTAGGTTCACCTCCAAATTATTTCAAAATATTGTGACAAATGTTCCGTAACATCACAATTTTGTATGTGCTTCAAAAGAACAGGAAAACAGCAAGTGCAGCTATTGGAAACAGTCGTGAATAAGAACTGTCTAAAGAGCAATACCTGCACAGTGGTGTCCGAAAAGGCACCAGTTCATGTTGCATCGCACTTGAAATGACATTTTGAGCATATTATGTTGTGTATCACGGCACAGGTTCTCACTCTGTGATCAAAAACTCACAGATTTCCCCTTTAAGTATATGCAATGGAACAGAACTCTGCCCACCTCTGTATGGCTGATCCCAGCTCACCTCTCAATGTGGAAAAGCTAGCTTTTATTATATATGGAGCAACCGAGACAAATTATAGATTACAATACCAGAGAGGTTTCCCTGAAGCCACAGTAGAGCTCATCACGGCAATGTTTCAGATGGAAACAAAGCAGAGGTGCTTCACCTCTCATCGCCGTCTGACTGCAGACCTCATTTTCTCTAATACAGCCGTTTAAATTTGTGCTCTCCTCCTTGTTTTAAAGACAAGTGATTTCACATCGGTGTGTTTTTATAGACGACTGTTTTATATGAAAGAAGAAGAACCAACCGAATATTGTGTTGTAGTTTCCAAGGTGCTGTGTGTGATTTATTTGCCTGTTGTCCTGTATATAATATGACTGATTTGTCCAATAATTTATCACCTGTGTGTGTCGTATTTGTTAAACCTTTGAAAACACTTTCTGTGTCGAAGTCTACCTTTAATCCAAATATCCTTTTTTGTTTGTCCTGATAAACTATAAGACTATGCCAGTATAGGCTCATGTCAGTATCTGAAGTATATATATATATATCTGCATCTGGTTTCTTCATTTCACGGTGCTCTGTTTGCCTATTGTCTCTAAATGCAGCATTTTTTTTTCTCTCTCCACTATCTTTGAAGATAACTCGTGCATTATATTCCTACTGTTTATCCTGAAATCTCAATACACAACTCTGAAGAACCACTTGTCAGGTTCACACTTGTCTGTTATTTCACTGTATTGATAAAACTGTGTAAACACAGTATCTTGGAGCAGGATCTCTGTGGAGTGGGGAAGAGTGATTCTCCAGCTAAAGAGCAGACAGTATTTGGGGAGATCAACCCATTAACTCCTAAGGGAGGTTTCTGACCAATGTGAATAAAATATATTTGTCACCTCAGCTCAGCTCGGAGCCCAGCTTGGAATATCCAAGTGCATATAAGCAATACTTTACAGCCCTGATCCCCACCCCCTCCACTCAGCCCCTGCTGTTCTCTACACCCTCTCCTCCATCTTCTTTCCCCTCTGAGGCCTAATTTCTGCACTGGCCCCGGTTATAAAAATGCATCTGAGAGGGAGCAGCTTCATTAAACAGAGACAAGAGGATGCCGTTATTGCATGTGACTGGCAACTGCAGCGGCACAGATATGTTCTTTCTCTGTGGCGCTCTCTTCAGAGGATCTGGACGAGCAACTACAAAGTGATGTTGGAATTCAGTTATGTGTACTGGCCTCTGAAGATCCTTTCAACACTTACACACACACACACACACACACACACACACACCACTCTGTTAGTCATATACTGTACATAAGATGTAATACGCATACATCCGTAGGCAGTCGGTAAATGACCGTGAACTCTTCAGTAAACATTTTCTGAAGAGTCTACATTCTTCAAAGAAAAGTGATGTAAATGTTTGTCCTCCAGAGGAAAAAGAGGAGAAATGCATGATGGGAAATTTGGCACCAAATTGCTACTATGTCATTTGCAGCAGCTTCAAAATTTTCTTTTTTTTGGCTACCTGGGTACTGTGGTGCTGAGCACCGACTGATTATGGTGCTGCACAAAGAAAAAGTTACTAAAATATTTAGGTAATTGTGATTGAGTCCTCAGAGGTTAATCCTGCTCTCCTGTAAAACAACCACTGTCACTCTTCTTTGGGTTTAACGGCAGCGTGCAGATTTAAAGTTGGATTACTGCCACCTATATTTTACTGATTTGCCCAAGTATGTTCTGTCGTCTGTTAAAAGGAAATACATTTTGTATGATTCTATGTTTTTATTGCAGTCCATTTCTTAACTACAATTTTTGCTGTTTATCAAATGCTAAGTTGAATAAGTACACTTTAAGTACACGTTTAATTCAGAATAACTCTTATCATACTGATGTACATTTCCTGCCTATGATGCAAATACTATCTGTACTAATATAAATGCTTAATGTAATAAGTGATTATTGTGTTTTCCTTATATAGATCGTGCTCTGTGTGGTATCCTGCTTTCATTGCTGTAAAAGAGAATAACTAAAAATATTGTTTGATTTTGTAAAAACAAAAAAAGAAAAAGTTTACCTTCACCAGGGTCAATGAATGTTTCACACTGACTTTTTTTTTGCTTTTTTTCTTTTTTTAGTAAATAAAACAAAGACTAGAGGGATGAGTTCAGATGGACATCATCTTAAAAAAAAAAGAAGAACATCATGGACACAGAAGGACACTAAAAAAGATGACCTAAAACAAAAGAGCAGATTTCTAAAGGAGCCCTTCTATCAAGAAAAGGAAGGGATCGAGGAGGATGGAGGATGTTTCTGGGCCTGCTCCGAGGCCAGGGCCTGAACCATTGAGCCTGTAGTCCAGGGGGGAAAGGGATCCTGCTGACCCCTGACAAAAAAAAAACAACAAAGCCTTGCTGGGTGGAGTAGACCGATTAGAGAGGTCACCATAAAACATTTTATTTTTGTAAACTTTTTTAAGTTTATGGTTTCCAAAAAAAAGCAAACACTAATGTACATATATACGTATTATATAGTATATGTGTGTAATATAGTAAGTATGTCTAACAAAAAAAACAACAAAAGAAAAGAAAAAGAAAAACATGGGGAAAAATGTTAAAAATGTGTCTTTACAAATTAAAATCGAGTGGGAGGTGAGGTGAGGAGATGCCAGTCCATCGCCTTCACCCCATCTGGTGGAGAGTCTTCCACCGCTGCACCCCACCCACCTCACCATCCACTGATAGGGCAGTAGTGATAGGGGGTCCGTGTGAGTGAGTGTTTGTGTGTTGACAGCTAGCAGGTCCAGCAGACATGCCGCTATGTGACTGTAGTGTAAATTTGGAGGGGGTCTTCAGATCGTACCAAGCTTTTTTTCGAGCCTGTCTTCCTCTAATGAACTGCAGTAGTGTTGTTGTCAAGTAGTCTGCATTTTGTATTTTCTGAGAGAAAAAAGCCCTATAATAACTAAGTATCCCTTCTATTTATTTGTGCAAGATCAAGAATGGAAGGATTTGTTGCAGCAATTCCATTAACGCGCAAGATTTACTGAAGTTTACTGTGAGAGTAGCTAGTCATGTCTGCCCCAGGCCTGGCTGCCCCTGACATCACTACCAAACATGTCCTCGTAGTGTTTGTGGTTTGAGGTGGATGTGCTGTGTAGTTAGTAAACTGCGTTTTGTACATTGTGTTGGGTAGGATGTAGAGGGTGTGGGTGGAGCCAGCGACCCCTGACAGGAGGAGGAGGAGGAGGAGAAGATGGAGGAGAAGATGTTGGAGCTGTGTTGCTTGGAAGCAGCACAGTAAAAATATTCCCATCCATCTTCCAAACCATCCGGCGCTTGACTCTCCCCTGATGACCGAGTGTGGATTCTAAGAAGGTGGGGAGGTTGGGGTGGGTGGGGTAAAAGCACTATCTGATATTGGGGGAGGGAGGGGGGGAGTCACAAACAAAACAAGGTTTTATTAAGAGTCTCTTTAGACCTTTCTATTTATATGGATCTCTACTTTAGTGACATCCTTCTATATTTAAACGTTGTACTAATAACATGCTGTAAAGGCATGGTCGGAGAGTTAATTGTAGCCATTTACTAATGTTGTATTTATTGTATTACCAGTAAGAAGAAGAAGAAAAAAAACATTTATATATGACTATAGATATATCTATTTGTGATCTGCAACTCTTGGACATACGTTTGCCTTTTGATTTCCGACTTTTGTGCAGGATTCGATGCACTGTCAGTGTACGATGGGGTTTCTATTTGTGTGAGGTTTTATTCTGTTGACATTTATTTTTCCGTTTGTTTGTTTGTTCGTTTGTTTGTTTGTTTCCCCTTCAGTTCAGCCACTGAATGTAACTTCAAAAACTCTTAAAAAACTTTTTAGGTAGATGTTGTTGTTTTCTATATACTTACAAAAACATACAGTACTCTGTGAATTATATACATGTGTAAATGATATAGCAAAATGTTTCTGATAATATGCTGGACTTCTTCTGCTGACCCAGACAAGAATGTCATGGCCAAAAATGTTTAAAAAAAGAAAAATGAAGACAGAGGAGAGTTGGGGGAAAAATAAAGATGAGGGAAGCATTTATAAGGAACACCAGTGCCCTGCAGCCAGCCAGAAGCCGGTGGGGGAGACAGAAATGAGTAATCATTACAGGATCAGTCAGAATTTTTTTCACAGTCAGGCTTTTCAAATTTGATAAGAACAAGAAAATGGGGAGCGACTCGTCTCATGTGGGAGAGAAAGACAGACGGAGACGGCACAGATAAAAAGACGATTTTTGAAATATGGATTTTTCTTCCAGTTACTTTCCCTGTATTCTCTCTCTCTCTCTCTCTTTCTCTCCCTTCTCTATCTCTGTCTCTCTCTCACTCTCTCTATCTTTGTCTCCTTTCTCCCTGGAATCTTGGAAGTATCAAAGAGCTCGAGGTGATCGCATTGTGTGTAGCGAGGAAGAGAAGGAGGAGAAAGAGGGAGCAAAGGAACGAGTGTGCGTAGACTTGTCTGAGACATGTGGAGTGGACAAAATGAAGGAAACACCTGTCAGGAAAATGTGTACATATTTATATGGTGCTCCATTCATAACAAAATAATATTTTAGATTGTACTTTAAACAAGAGTCGGCTCTAGGCATTTTGCATACTTTGTGAGATTGTGGTTTGGCACCCCCTATTGTCCTGTGGTATTTTGTTTTTCTTCTTCTTTGGATTAACATGATCACCCTTTCCAGCAGATGGCGCCCTAGGTGACTGCCTACATGGCCTTAGGCCAGAGCAGGCTGTACTGTAAACCATAATATATCTCATTCTCTACACATTGACTTACATTTGCGACAGCAGCGTTACAGTTCACGCTAACAATCGTCAAGTGCTGTCATAATGAACTGATAATGAAAAGTATTCGCTGCTATACTGGAGTGGTTCTGGTGGTTATGAACATGGCTTAGCAGGTTAAAAACATGTTGTGTACTTGCTCAAAATATTAGTGCTCATGTAATGCAACATTACAAGTCATTTGCTAACAAGAAACCACTGTGGTGTCTAAGTCAGTCATAAAAAATAACAATAAAACACCATTCATGTTCTCTGTTTTCAAATCCTGTCCATACTAGTCGAGTACCGATTGGCTTGGCTATAACTGCAGCAATCAACTAGTCCGGAATTCACATTTTGTACTGAGAATACAAGAAACACTTTGCTAATGAGTTTTTTTTATATACTGTTAAATTAAGTGCTGAATTACACATGAACTGGTACAGCATATAATGTTACATTGTTTAGACTAGTAGACAACAGTATGTTGGCCTGATGGCTGGACAGTGACGTACTGGGGGACCTGTACACAGAAAATAATTTGTATTTACTGTAAGGTAGTCACAAATATTTGAAGCTCGTGCCATCTCTCTGTCCTTCAGTGTTTACATATGCAATGCAGATGAATGTAGCTCATAGCGACTGAGTAAAGAGCACAAGCTGGTGCTGAACAAGGTAGTATCATGGCAGCCATCATGCAAAATATTTTTTTCCTTTTTAAAATGCGCTCCATCGAAAAGTTGATGTTTTTGCCCTTTTCTTTAAAAAAAGTTTATTTTTTTAGAGCTGCAGTTTCCTTCATTTTGTCCACCTGTGTGAAGTTAGTGGTAAAAAGTCATAGACATGGAGTCCTTCTGCGTTAGCAAAATTCAGAAGTCGTTACTTAGTGAAGAATGTTCATTCTTCTCTTCTTCCTCCTCCTCTTCCTCTTTTTGTTTTGCCCTGTGGTTTCCACCTCTCTGTGAAAACTTGGAGCGATCCTTCCACCTTGCTGCATTTCTTTTTTCCTCCCTGGATTGTTCAGAGTGGACACACCGGCGGGTTTAGAGCGTCCACTGGACGCATATCTGGATTGATGTCTTAAAGTTTCAGAGACTGGGACTAAATTAGCGTCTGTGCGTCTGTGGATGAACTTTTGTACAAAAAACAGAAATCACCCATCCAGCCCCTCCCCCCCTCTGTACACCACTGCTGAGCTGTTGAACTGAAATCCCACGCCTGCAGTGGATGGAGGCAAAAGAGACAAAACTGCGGAAGACCTTTGACGAAAAAAAAACCTAAAGACTGGGACTTAACTGAAAACGAACAGAAAAAAACAAATAAAAACAACTAACGATGTCAATCTTAGCGGAGAGTCAGACGTCCTCTGGCCTCCGCCCTTTTCTTCTAAATCTTATTTTTTCCCTTCTTTCCGTTGTGGGTTTAAGACTTTCGTCCTGTTTACATGTACTTTAAATGCTGTCCATCCTTTCCCGGTTGGAGAGATTTAAAAAATGTTACGCAGCTTTCATTCTATCTCTGGTATTCTCTATGGCTGATAACTGTAACCCTGAGAAATCCCTTCTGCTCAAGCTAGCATGTCCTCCTTTCCCTCATCCCTTAGACCTTCCACTCGTTCCCTCTAGGCAAACCCCACTCTTAGGTAAAAATAAACTACTCATACCACAGCTGAGACCCAGCCCCGCCCCCTCCCCATGTCACCTGCTTTACAGTACATATGTGAAAATCCTTGAGCTTCCTACCAAAACCTATGTGGGTCTTCTGCAAAACTCCCCCTTCTTTCTTATAGTGTGTATACCTCAGATGCAAGCCCTGAAGCAGCTATCGTTCACCTGAAACCTCCTCGCAGCCAGACCTCATTTACCCTCTCAGCCCCTCAACCCGCCCATTTAGTGTAGCCCTGCTCTGATCCACAAGCTAAAAACCACACCTACCTCCCCTGGTAACCTGGTGACCTCCACCCTAAAGGCCACAGTATACTTGCAGCAGCAGCAGTGGCCCACTTTCTTCCCACTTCTTCCCTTAGTCACCTCATCACGGCGTTTAGTGAGTCTAGATGAACATGAACACCACAGGGTTAGGGTTTTTAGTGTTGACAGTTTCAGTAAAGGTTGAGGTGAAATGTCGGACTTTTACTAATGCTACAATCAGAGACGTCAGGAGTGCAGTAAAAGTTGACATCTGTAATGGGTTGGTGCACTTGAACCTTTGTCAGGTAAAAGACATAGAAAAAAAATAATATATATATACATATATATATATATATATATATTCCATCTTTTATTCCAGAAAACCAGCAGAAACAACAACCTAAAAGTTAATTAGACAGTACATTTAGAATAAATGTAGATATAAGTATAAATAATCACAAAGCCATTGAAGTAATACACTTTGTTTTCTTCATTTACTGTCTTTTAGTTTTTGTTTAGAATCAGAACACTAACTCTTAATGACTCAAGTCAATTAATTGATTAATTGATTAGTCAGTTCAGCTCTCCCAGAGTCTCTGAAGGATTCTCCCATTAAACCAGACCTTGGTACCTGGTCTGTTAACTGCTGGCATCAGTCTTCCTAGTTTGTAAATGTTTAACAGAGACATTAAAAATATATTCTCTGTCTTTTGCTATTTAAATGAGGGTTGAAGTGACTCGCCCAACTCCAGAATCTCTGCTTTTATTGCAT